TCCAGATAAGTATGCTGGAACTCCAGCATAATATGATGGAGTTCCAGCATAAGTACACTAGAACTCCAGCATAATATACTGGAGTTCCAGCAAAGTATACCGGTCCAGTATAATATGCTGGAAGTTCATACACAAGTGCTCGAATATCCAGTATATTATGCTGGAACTTTCCGTGTGTTGGAGTTCCAGCATATTATGCTGGAAGTTCATACACAGGTGCACTGAACTCCAGTATGTTATGTTGGACCGGTCTCTGTTGTAGCAAAATAGTGGCTATTTTTCATTGACTTGGTAAACGCTGGCTATTTTCGAATGACCAGTCCGAAAACTAGCTAGACCGTGCTATTTTTCACCCGTTATTTTTTAGACGGTGGAAATAACTCTTTCCTAAACATAAGGGGTTTAGGTATCAATTTTCCAATTTTTAAGGGATCAAACTGATATTCTATACTTTCGTGTCAACTTTAAATCATCTCCGAAGCCAACCCGATTCCCATTCAATAGATTTTCTGTTCAAAGCCCCATCACCAAATCCTTGCTCTCTCTTAATCGCCGCCGTTGTTGATTCCCGCCGGCGTTCCCGGACGTTTTATCCGGCGAATTCCTCCTCTCTATCGTGTACAAGGTTAAGCCCAAAATTCTTTTTGTGCTTATTATCTTTTTTGGAAGCTTAATTTTTGTGCTTATTATTGTGATTGGGCCTTAATATAGAGCGTAACGGATGCAGAGGATTGATATAAGAAACCCCAATTAGTTTGAGATTAAGATGTGGTTGATTGATCGATCGATTCATTATTGTGTTTGGGCCTTCAAAGAAAAAGAATAAGTCGAGGACTTTACTGCTTCAAAGTTTTGATTTTATGTAAAGAAAATACTATATATGATTTAAAGGGTGATAAGTTACAGTTAACTCCAAGACCCATATAGTATTCTTGCTTATTCATGTCTCTTTAGAGTTGAAATTGAAGGAATAATACATGGTCCTGCTGCTATACTAACTTGTAAGGCTTATAGTGCAAATACAAAATAATGGAATTTTCATTAGCTAACAGGGTTTAAAGTTTTCTATGAGAAAGAGTGATCGAATCAGACTTGGTTATAAAAGAAATTTATCTTGCGAGAACTTAGAAATCCCTGTCTCTAATTAAGGTGCCTGCTCATTATGTTGATGAATAATTGAATTCTCATTGTGTTTTCGACAGACTCGAATGCGAAATAGTGATAAAGTTTTTTATTTTTTTTAATTTTTTTTTATGACCGAGAAATTCATCTGGGGCCAGCCTTTAGGACCAACCGCAACCTTTGAAACTTTGGGATGAAGGGTCCACCCCTCTACCCGTCTCCACTTAAATACCAGACTTAGTTTTGATGTCGCATGGCTCTAACCTGTGACCCTAAGTCACAAGTCCCACAGCCTTTGCCACTTGAACTAAGCCTTGGGGGCAGATAAAGCTACTTCTCTGTTGCACTGTATTTTGGGTCTTAAGTTATCTTTTTCCTAATTTGATGTTGAGAAGGCAAAGAATGATTGGATTATTTGTTCCTTAATTATAAGTTGATGCATCTTTGGATGACCCAAAAAGAAAAGTAGGGAAGGTCCTTGGAAGAGGAATTTTAGAAGCTGACCACTTTCTGACTAAGAAATTCACTTCTATAAAGCTGTGTCGAGTTGCGGAAAAAACCTCAAGTTATGAGGGAGAGCTTAACTTTTACTTCTAGAAAAAATTGTATTTATTAGAATGCTTCCATTCACTCAGCTATGCAGTGGTTTCTCGAGTGTTTGCCTCGCAAGCAATTTCTAATAGTTGTTGGGTTCTATTGTTTACCAGATGGCTTCACTTCAAGAAAGTTTGCAAAGGTTCAAGAAGCAACAAGAGAAGTGTCAATCTACCCTTAGTAGTATAGCTTCCAGAGCAGGGCCTTCTAAGGCAGCTCCTCCAAGACCAATGGTAGCAAATGCAAAATCTCCTGCACCTGCAGTCAAGTTTTCAAATGACACGGAAAGGCTTCAGCATATAAATAGTATAAGGAAAGCTCCCGTGGGGGCTCAGATAAAACGTGTCATAGACTTGCTGCTCGAGGTATATTTCCTCCACTTGCTTCTCATTGTTTTTCAATTTCTCCTTAACCCCATCCAGCTATTTTTTAACTTCTAAATTAAGAGCTATGATGGACTTGATTTAACTTAATATTTAGCACCAAGAAGCAAGCATAAGAACTGCTGAACCTCTAAATTCGTTCCCACAGGAAATAGCTTAGGATTAAGTGCCCCTACAGAATTAAAAGTAAGGAGCAACATAACTGAGATTACTAGCTGATAGTCAAGACTAATTTAGTGGTTGAGATTTAGAACTGTTAGCCTTGGGGCTAGTGTCTTTAGATTTATGACTAGGTCTACCACTGAGGATTCGTGCAATGTTGGATTGTGCAACTTATTTGGCCCAATGTGCTTTTATTGGGGCACATCAAAGGAGAAAATTAACAGAAAGTCTAAAAAGGAAAAAAGAAAAAAACAATGCAACTACAGTGGAGGACTTTTCTTTTTGAGGAATTATTTTTGTGGGATGTCTAGAGTGTTTCTAGAGTGTCAACCATTGATTACTGGTTGCAAGACCTACTTAAGCTACATGTGGATGGTCGCATTGTTAGTTGAAATATCTGTTCCTTCTTCAAGCAAGTCTTTTGCATGTTTGTTGAATAACCATAAACATACATGCCTCAAATGAGTTTCTGAAATACCTTTCAACTACATTTATTTGGTGATGACGTTCTTCTTTTAAAAGGACTGAGTAATTAACAAAATATCATGTGAGCCGATTTTAGGATGTCGTATTTCCTAGCAGGTGTTACTGCACAACCGCATAACACGTCATATCCTGCAGTGTTTCTTCTTATAGCTTCAAGTTGGTAGCTTAAGTTTACACACTATTGTTTCGTTTTTCCTTGCCTGATGCTACTGGAAGTAACTTCCTAGAATTACTGTCAAAATAACACAGACCAAACCGTGGAAAAAAGATATAAAACGGAAATGAACTTCTCTTTGGTCCATTCGAGGGTAGGAGTTCTTCTGTGGTACTTAAAACTCTCAAATTTGAGAAGGTGATTCCCGCAAGAATGTTGCGTAATTCTCCATTTTTGCTGGATTCTCTGCCCTGAGTAGTATAGTGGCTTGCCTTCTTATCTTATTGGGAAATCTGTGTCTTCTGTTTAGTAGTAATAGTTAGACTTTGATAATTGATTAATTTTCATATATGCAGACAAGGCAAGCTTTCACACCAGAACAGATTAATGAAGCATGTCATGTTGATATAAATGGCAATAAAGCTGTGTTTGACAGTTTGAGGAACAATCTCAAAGTATATTATGATGGCAATCGGTTCTCTTATAAGGTAAAGCTAGGTCTTCTAGGAGACTCTTTTAAGGTTACTCGTCTTTAAGTGATTTGCAACCAACTCTGAATCTCTTGTTCTTTTTGAATAACATTAATTCACTTATAATTTGTCAACAGTCGAAACATGCCTTGAAGAATAAAGACCAACTACTTATCTTGATACGAAAATTCCCTGAGGGTATTGCTGTCATCGACCTCAAGGATGCATACCCAACTGTCATGGAGGACCTTCAGGTACATTTGTCATACCAACCTACTTTTGAGTATTTTTAAAAAAAAAACTACTTTTGAGTATTTGCTTTCAATGTACTGATATTAGTTTTTTTCCTGCAGGCTCTCAAAAGTGCTGGTCAAATTTGGCTATTGTCAAATTTTGACTCCCAGGAAGACATTGCCTTCCCAAATGATCCACGAGTACCTATTAAGGTCGATGATGATTTGAAGCAGCTATTCAGAGGTATTGAATTACCACGTGACATGCTTGATATTGAAAAGGATCTCCAGAAGAACGGGATGAAGCCAGCTACAAACACTGCAAAGAGAAGGGCAATGGCCCAAGTTCACGGGATTGTCCAGAAGCCCAAAACCAAGAAGAAGAAGCACGAGATCAGCAAAAGAACTAAGCTTACAAATGCTCATCTTCCAGAACTCTTTAAACTTTAGATTTCCATCAAGGAAAGAAGCTCCAGGGTTTCTGTCTCATAAAGGCGATAGTCCTCATTTGGCACAGCGTATACTGCCCCTTGCCAGATTATGATGTCTAGTGACCGAGCCTCCTGAGGGTTAATGTCAAATGCTTGATATGCATCTAGCATGAGAAGCTCTTAGAAGTGGCTAGTCTTGGTTTTTGGTTTCTATATTTACAAGATGGTGGTTTTATATTTATCCTTTTAACCTGGGGTAGGAACGATTGCTATTATTATTCGTGTGTATTACTGACTTGGGGTTTTTGAACAATCAAATTATAATGTTTCACCAATTTCATGAAGATCAACAACTCCATTTTGTATCATACTGTCTGATATCAATATTACAATAAATTAGCTTTGATGAGGCATGGACTTCAAGGTTTACAAATTTAGTTCTAGCAAACTGTAGATAAGGGAAAAGTGTCAAATTTGCCCGCTATTATTCCAGAAGGTTTAAATTTATCCTCCCTTATCAATTATCTTCAGTAATTTGGGTCAAATTTACCCCTCTACTATTTGATTTGAGCAGTTTTACTCCTCTGCTATCGATTTGGAGCAATTTTACCATCCGAAATTATATAGCCGGGAATTTTCTCTTCATGCAATGACTCAAATTTGTAAGAGCAATGTTGTATTCCATCAATATGACAAGCCACTATTTTATTGAGATATTGAATATACTGTGCATAGACATAAGATTCACCTATCCCAAACCCTGGTAATCTTTAGTAATCTTTGATGAAATGACAAATATTATCAAACTTCTTAACAAATGCCTCTTGGAATAAACATAAAAAGAAGATACAAGCACTGGTTGCCAGCAAGGTGATGAACTCCTGCAGAATCTCATTTCAGAACTTCATTTAGCCATGATATGCAATCTGATCAAAATGCCCTACTCTTAAAACCTCTTACCACTTCTATCCAAGCAAGTCTACAAATTGATAGATATCGTCGCGCCTCTGGCTCTTTAAAGGGAGGCTTTCCCTGCACGCGCTTTAAACAAAGTGAAGAAAAGTAAAGATAAAAGATCTTCTAAAGACAATTTTTACAACAAATGATGCATCCCCTTGCCCGTTGAATTGCAGCATAATCAATATCAGCAATTATAACGTCTTCCTCATGCCCTGTGGTTGCAATTATTTCACCCATCTGCTCACCAGAAAAACAAAGATAGATCTCTTTGATTGCATTATACAGAAATATGCAATCCAAAGTAGCTATTTGCAGATTTACATTACAGTTTCTGAACATACCGGTCCAACCACAGTAGAGTGACCCCATATTATGTAGCTACTGGCTGAATCTCGAGATGGGGAGCAAGATGCCACATAAAGCTATGACAAATGCAGTAACATGTCTTTTCAGTTTGATTACTAGACAAAGAAGTCTATCATTATAAAGTAACATGGTATTACCTGGTTATCTACTGCCCTGCAAAATCAAAGTTGAATGAGCAGTAAGTACTGGTTAATTGGGGCAGGGAGGGGGCCTTTCGTAGAGTTTCTTTATGATTTCTACAAGATATCTTTATAGGTCAACGATATTCACAACTAGACGAGGCAGAATCATCTTGTCTTGATCTTTGCTCCAGCTCCCACAGGGCCGCCCCAGTACTCATGTTGAATGCTCCAGGGTAACATATTAGATGAGCACCTGATTCTCATATGAAGAAGATCGATATTTATAGACATCACGGTGCAATTAAGGAGAACAATAAAACATGTAAACCACCATACCTCTCGCACTACATGCCATTGCTAGTTCAGGAAATCGAATATCATGACAAATTCCTATTCCAATGCAACCAAAATCTGCAGAAATTCTGAAAATTTTCAGTTATAAGACTTGTAAAAGTACAGTTTCAAGTAGAAAGCTATCTGCACATTTTCTGCTAATATTTTGGAACAGTTGCCTACCTGTATCAACAACTGTAGGCTTATCTCCTGCTGAAATGCTGTCTGATTCCTTAAATTGAACTTCTCCTGGAAGTGGCTTACCTATGTCAAACAAATATATCTGCAGAAAGGCATTGCACAATTACATTTCTAGCTAGTTTTGCAATTCTTTTCTTCCAATCACCTCTTTAACTTTTTCTTGGTGCAACCAAAGTTTACCATTATATACATTCTTTGACTTTTGCAAAAGCTTTTGGAGAACTATCAAAAGAAGCTTACTTTTCTGTGCTTAGCCTTTAACTCTCCATTAGGTCCAAACACAGTGCAAGTATTGTACATCTGACCAGCATCCTTTTCCGGAATCGATCCACCTATAATGGTGACTCCTAAGGCAGAAGCCACTTCAGATAACATAAGAAATGACGAGGCGCTGTCTAAATCATTGAAGTCCTCAGCAAACTTTCCAAACATGTCAGTTGAATAAGGGCAATTCCACATTTCCTACAACTAATGGTTGACATACATTGAATCATCGCGTCCAACATTGTTATTGAGCTATGTGCATAGCTTAAAAGTACCCTTTGAGCTTGTCGTCTTAAACATGTCATAGGCATATATCACTTAAGAGTTTTCCGAATATAGAAATGTCTCAATCTTTGTAAACAGATTAAAAAGGAAAGAGTGTTTTATAAAACTGAACAGGAGGAGTAATAAAGTAAGGTAAGGCTCAGCATAGCAATAATAAGCATTGATATTTAAAGCTAAAAATTAAAAGGATGTACTGAAGGGAAGGCTACTCATAGGCAAAAGTATAAGACTTGCACCTTGTTCTGCAGCAACTTGAATTAGATTACGAGCATTTAGAATGTTAACATTCTTCTCTGTTGTAACTTTCAGCTGACAAATTCCAATCTTGAATTTCTTTTTTTTCTCGAAACCCCACAAAAAATGAAGATAAAAAAGAAAGGAATCAACAATCATTATTACTGTGAGGACTTCTGTTAGTGATTTGATTTTTCAAAACAAGCTATGTATTCAAAGATCCTACCATTTAGCAGAGGTGGTGTTATGTTAGGATCTAAAAATTATGGGTTCGGGATTCTAATTTGTTTTAAATTATTTGGTTCTAGATTAATAATTTGTATGTATTCAATAAATTTCTTAAGACAAATAACTTGTACCGAATGCACACACCCTGTAATTTAGATGTGAGTGGCAAAAGGAGAAAATTCTCATATGATGAAATGTGTAAAAGAAGAAAGGGGAAGAGACCTAAAACATGGTAGAGCTAAGTATCTGCTCATCTCTTTCAGTAGTAGAATTAGTTTGTAACACATGATCAAGCTTATTCGTTTTACAGAAGATTCTTTGTCTAAATAAAAAGTTTGAACACTAAATTCGGACTAATAGCATTACATAGCATCTCAAAATTAAAGCAGCAAACCAAAGGACTAATTAGAAAACAACTTGAAACTACTGATATTACTTCAAAAGTGCAGTATGTACAGTTATTGTTTAAACCTCAAATGAATTGCTGGAAAGATTATTACAATTTGTTATAGACATATCCATGAAAAACATTATATACACTTTCAAAGTCAAGAATTGAACCTAGCTAATACTGTCCACTAAGTTAGCTGAAACTTTTCAGGTAGATAGTTCCAATATTTTATAGCAGCATCTCTTGTAAATGCATCTTAGACTCCCAACATTGTTGGTCCAACATTACTGTCTGATCCATCCTCATCGCAGCCAATCTGTCCGTCATAGGCGCATTATCTAACATGGCGTCCATTAGATCAGAAAAAAAGCTGGATTCTGTTTCAGTAATTGTTTCCCCCGTCAAAACATCCTCCTCGTTACCCGTACCCTCATCGAGTAGTACTAACTCACCCCCCTCTTGTGTGTGCACCTCAGGTTCAACAGAGTCTGGTCCCTCCAATTGCAGAATAGTATTCAATTCAGATTCTAAATATACCTCAGGTACTTCAACAGTGGTTGTTGGGCCCTCAAAATCCAAGGTAACATCAGTTGCTGGTTGAATAGAACAAGGTGTTGTATCACATTCACCTGTTGCAATTTCATTAGAATTTAGCATAGTAGTCGATTCAGGTACCAACGACTTGGACAGTAAAGGTTCATACAGTCGATTCCAACTTCCAGCTCGGAATTGAGGCAGCATAGTTGTTGTTATTGTAGTCGATTGATCAGGTACCAACTGCACCAGATTGTTTCCCATAGCATAACCCCTGCAACCAGTTAGTAGTTCAAGAAAACTTGTAGCCTTGGCTTCAGATTCCACATATGTAATATTATGCTCCTCATTAACAGCAAAAGTACAACCTTCTTCTTCTTGATCTTGTGTCTGGTTCTTCTCCAATAGTGTGTCACAACCCATATTTTCAGCCAGTCTATCCTTTATTTCAGGCACATTAAATTCTTGCATCGCGTTCTCAAAGTCAGCGGTCATAAATTCTTGAATTTGAGAAAAAGTAGATAGCCCCAACAACGACGAACCATTCTCTACACCAGTAGCCTCTTGACTTTGCACCTTAGATTCCTCCATTGGTTCTTCAACATAATAGATAGGAGTGATCACCTCATTATATTCCTGATTCTTAACCGAATTTATCCCAACAGTTTCCACCATTAACGGTTCAACAGATTCTACGATTGCTTGATCAACAAAATAGTCCTGAACCATCAATGGCTGATCAACAACATAATTATTCATATCAGAAGTCACCTCAGTATCCACCTTCTCTTGTTCAGAACATGACTCCATAGTAGTTGTAACATTGCTATTCTGACTAAAATTACAACTAGTACTTCTTTTAGGCAACTTTTTTATGGCACACATAACATAATCTTTACGCTCCGAATTACTGAACTTATTAAGAATAGGATCAGACAACACATATTCCTTCATTAGCCACTTACCATCATTATAATCATCAGAATTAATACACTTAGTATTATTCTTCTCAGTATAACACATACTCTTCATTCGTCCAATAATCAAATCTCTTTTCCTCTGATCACAACTCTTTATAGTAACAGCTCTTCCCTTATCTTGTTGTTTCCAAGTCCCGCCTCTTTTTCCAACAGTCCTACGAAACCTTCCTTTGTTCTTCTTTCTTGGTGTAATAAAATAACGGTAAATACTTGTGTCCCAATTATCTTCTACTCCTCCAGTAGAATGGCCATGGCTGTAAGTTACCCAAGGTTCTTGCTTATAAACATCATGCATTGCAATAAAACCATTGTCATGCAATTCTTGTTTAGCAACAAACCTTAAAAGAAATTTCACTAACTCTGAATCCGTCGGACGGAATCGATACCCTTCTCTAAGATCATCTAACTTCATCATATTCATTGTTTCTTGTATATGAAGATGAAAAAAAAACGAATTAAAGAGAAGTGTATGATATACCAGCGGCCAAGACTAGAGAGTTTTGAGTGCTGATAAAATAGGGCTTTATGACTTATGAGTAAATATGCATTGAATTTATAGAACAGAGAGTTGATTATGATCAACGGTAATAGGTTCGATTTTAGGGAAGTACGTGAAGCCCAAGTATATTCAACAAATTTTACCTGAAATCCCTGCCTTTGTAAGAAACCAAACTTGTAACAATTTAGGAAACTTTCTTCTAACCGTCGAAATTTAATATATGGAAACATAGGAGTTAAATAATAAAAACATTCTACTCTATTTACTCATTTATCTTGTACTAATCTTTAAACAAACAAGATATATTTTTTCAATCTTACCGTGAAATATATGTTATTTTTGTGTATTCTTGAGTTTTTTTTTTTTTTTTAAATAGAATGTAATGTAAAATATTGCATTTTAAATGGTAACAGAATTGTTAATATGTAAAAATTGTTCGTAGTAAATAAAAAAAAGTAGTTAATATGTGGAAACTTAGTACTGGATTTTTTCTTAAGGCAACAAATATTTATAAATAACTAAGCCAAAACAGAGTTACGTTAGGGAAATTTCCTGTTGATCTCTAAATGAGAAGCATCAAAACAAAAAGGCGAAATGGCTTCTTGGCCACTTAAACTTGTAGGGCTTTTGAAAGCCGATACACAAACTTTAGTCTTTCCTATTTAAACACTCAAACTCGTGAAACCTATAACTAATAAACACCTTTGACCATTGACTATGCTTATGTGGCGATAACTTATCTTACGTGGACATAGTGCGTACAAGTCACGTTCAAATGACGCGTGTATCTCTTACTATTCATTAAAAAGATTGTAAAATCAAAAAAATAAACAGAAAATATAAGGAAAACCAAAAAAGAAGAAGAATCCCATCAACCCCCCCCCCCCCCCCTCTGGATCTTGTCTTCTACACACCACCCCTGTATCTTCGCACCATCCCCAACGACCAGAAACAAGGCTTCACCCATAACCCACAACAACGACCAAACGAACCCAACCAGTTCCTCCTCCCCATCTACGCCTAACAATGCCTTCCCCCCCCCCCCCCCCCTCTTCGGATNCACATACACGCAAGGGACAGAGAAACAGATCTGGGAGAGTGAGAATGAGAGAAAAGGAGATGGGGAAGTGAGCGAAAAAACAAAGGGACAAAGATATTTTTGTGGTTGTTCGGTTTGAGTGTTGAGGATCGTTTGAGATCGCCGACGAGTTATTTTTTTTCCGGTTCGTGGTACAATTTCAAGATTTCTGTTGATCATATATTATCCATGTTTTTACTCGTTTTCTCTAATTCACTTGAACAGTTCTAAGTATCCATTGTTGTTCCTTTGTGTTCGATTTGTGGCCCTCTTCGTAGTTAATTTGGTTTGCTGGGTCATTTTGGTACCTTGAGTTAGGTAAAAGTTGCACAGCTATGGTGAAGAAGAAAATAAGGGAAATAGAAGAAAAATTAGAAATTAATAAATTTATTCCAGCACAGCTATGGGGTTTGTTTTCGCGCCCTTGACGTGTAACAATCCCATTGGTCATTTGCTGACTGGATGGACACGTCTGTGAATGTGTAATACACGCGCGTAGGGTCAAGGGTCAAATGAGTTTATTAGTTAAGGGTTTCACGAGTTTGAATGTTCAAATGGGAAAGTCCAAAGTTTGTGTATCGGCTTTCAAAAGCCTTACAAGTTTAAATGACCAGGAAGCCATTACGCCAAACAAAAAATAAAAGCTAAACATGAAGGATAGAAATGCCAAGTTACACGAGCTGCGTACGATAAAGCTATACGAGCAAGAGAGAGAGCCGCTTTATTAGCGTGCCGCCTAGTCCAGGAAGGACAAATCATTGAATTAATTCTTCAAACACAGACAATCCCCAATAATTTGTCTGAATGTGGAAACTTAGGAATTAAATAATAGAAATGATGTACTCTATGGGTGTGTTTGGTACGAAGGAAAATATTTTCCAATTTTCCCATGTTTGGTTGGCTTAAATGTTTTGAAAAATATTTTCCTTATCAATTCAAAATGTTTTCCTTATCAAAAGAAGGGAAAACATTTTCCAAAGCTCTTTCTCAACCTTTCTCACCCTCACCAACCCACCCCACTCCTTTCCAAAAAAAGATTTTTTTTTTTTAAATTTCAGTTTTTCCGTTACCATCCACCCTACTACCCCTCCACCCCCTCCCCCCGCTAAAAAAATATTTTTTTTACCTTAAATTTTTTTTTTTGCAATTTCAAATTTCTGTTTTTTCATTTTTCTGCACCACCCACCCCCCACCCCCCCACACCCCCCTCCCCCCGCACAATTTTTTTTTTACTTTTCTTTTTGTAATTAAAATTTTTGTTTTTTTTTCGTTTTANAAATATATTTTTTAGTTTTTAATTTTATTATTTATCGATTTAAAGGCTCAAAATTTTACAAGTTCCAAAATTATGAGTTCAGAGGTTTATGTGTTTGGAAGTTTACGGGTTTAAAAATTATAAAGTTTACGGGTTCGAAAATACGCGATTTTTGCGTTAAAAAGTAAAGCATC